GTCCTCTACCAGAGGCCTGGGAGTTTGAGGGTTCTGCGCAGTATCTTAGCTGTTCCTAGGACTGCGCTCTTCTGGACAGAGACCTCTGATGTTTTACCTGGAATCTGCTGTAGCCACTCTCCCAGTTTGGGGGTCACAGCCCCCAGTGCTCCAATTACCACTGGCACCACTGCTGCTCTCACTTTCCACATCTTTTCTAGCTCCTCCTTCAGTCCTTGGTATTTCTCAAGCTTCTCGTGTTCTTTCTTCTTTATGTTGCTGTCGCTTGGGATTGCCACATCTATCACTACTGCCTTCTTCTGCTGTTTGTCGATCAACACGATGTCTGGTTGGTTAGCCATCAGCTGTTTGTCAGTCTGGATCTTGAAGTCCCACAGGATCTTAGCTCGGTCATTCTCAACTACCTCAGGAGGTGTCTTCCATTTTGATCTTGGGACTTCCAGCCCATACTCATGGCAGATGTTCCTGTACACTATGACAGCTACCTGGTTGTGGCATTCCATGTATGCACTTCCTGCCTGCATTTTACACCCTGCTGTTATGTGCTGTATTGTTTCAGAGGCATCTTTGCACAGTCTGCATCGCGGGTCCTGCCTGGTGTGGTAGACCCTGGCCTCTATTGATCTTGTACTGAGTGCCTGTTCTTGTGCTGTCATGATTAGTGCCTCTGTGCTGTCCTTCAGTCCAGCCTTTTCCAGCCACTGGTAGGATTTTTTGATATCAGCCACTTCTTCTATTTGTCTGTGGTATACGCCGTGCAGCGGCTTGTCCCTCCATGATGGTTCTCCTTCCTCTTTCTTGTCCTCACTTTCGGTTTTCTCCTGCCCGAGGTACTCACCGAGCCATTTGTCTTTGGGGGCCATCTTTCTGATGTACTCCTGGATCTTAGTTGTTTCATCCTGGACAGTGGTCTTGACACTCACTAGCCCTCGGCCTCCCTCGCTACGCTTGGTGTACAGTCTCAGAGTGCTGGATTTGGGGTGGAACCCTCCATGCATTGTGAGGAGCTTTCTCGTCTTGATGTCAGTAGCCTCTATCTCCTCCTTTGGCCAGTTTATTATACCAGCGGGGTATCTGATGACTGGTAGGGCATATGTGTTGATGGCTTGGATCTTGTTTTTCCCATTCAGCTGACTTTTCAGGACCTGCCTTACTCTTTGTAGGTATTTAGCTGTGGCAGTCTTTCTTGCCATCTCCTCGTGATTTCCGTTAGCCTGTGGCACCCCAAGGTATTTGTAGCTGTCCTGAACATCTGTTATGAGGCCTTCTGGTAGTTCAAGCCCCTCGGTTCTGATCATCTTCCCTCTCTTTGAGACCATGCGACCGCACTTGTCCAGTCCGAATGACATCCCAATGTCGTTGCTGTAGATCCTGGTAGTGTGGATCAGTGAGTCGATGTCTCGCTCACTCCTGGCATACAGCTTGATGTCATCCATGTAGAGGAGGTGACTGATGATTGTTCCGCTTCGGAATTGGTATCCGTAGCCAGTCTTTGTGATGATCTGGCTGAGGGGGTTCAGGCCTATGCAGAACAGCAGCGGGGATAGTGCATCACCCTGGTATATGCCGCACTTGATGGTGACTTGTGCTATAGGCTTTGCATTGGCTTCCAGACTTGTTTTCCACAGCTTCATTGAGTTCTTGATGAAGGCTATTAGAGTCCTGTTGATCTTGTACATTTCCAGGCATTCCAGTATCCATGTATGTGGCATTGAGTCATAGGCTTTCTTATAGTCAATCCAGGCAGTGCACAGATTTGTCTGCCTGGTCTTACAGTCTCGGGTGACTGCTCTATCCACTAGTAGCTGGTGTTTGGCTCCTCTGGTGTTGCTGCCTATTCCCTTCTGGGAAGGGTGCATGTATTGAGCCATGTGCCTATTCATCTTAGCCGCTATGATGCCTGACAGGAGCTTCCATGTTGTACATAGGCAAGTTATTGGCCGGTAGTTGGATGGGGTTGTTCCCTTCTGCGGATCCTTCATGATCAGGATAGTCCGTCCTTGGGTTAACCATTCTGGGTGGGTCCCATCCATCAGCAGTTGGTTCATTTGTTCTGCGAGGCGTGCATGAAGTGCGGTTAGTTTTTTCAGCCAGTAGGTGTGGATCATATCAGGGCGTGGTGCTGTCCAGCTCTTCATACCTGCCGCTCTTTCTTGGACATCTGCTGTTGTAACGGTTACTGGTTCTTGTTCTGGGAGATTGCTGTGATCTGTTCTTAGATCTTCTAGCCACTGAGCATTGGTGTTGTGGGATGCCTCCTTCTCCCATATGTTTCTCCAGTACTGTTCAGTCTCAGCCCTGGGTGGATCTGATCTTGAATTACCCTGCCACTGTGAGTACACTTTGGATGGGTTGGTGGAGAACACCTGGTTTATTCTCCTGGCTTCTGCTTCTCCCTTGTATCTCTTCAGGCGGATGGCCAGGGCGGCGAGTCTTTGTTTGGCAGTTTCCAGAGCCTCAGGAATCGACAGCTTGTTGTACTTAGGTAACCTCTTCCCTACACCTTTCTGTAGTTCTGAGCTGGCTAACCTCTCTTCGTGTTGCCTTGATCTTGGCTTCCAGCCTTCTTCTCCATGGGGGCTCTGCTTTGTGGCCTGTGGTGTTTATCTTATAGCCAAGCATCTCTAGGATCACTGTAGCTGTGGCGTAGGTCAGCTCATTTGTCTCAGTTATATCTTTAGTAGGGATAGTATGTAGTGCTGCATTTACATCTTCTAGAAGACTTTCAGAGGGTACTCTGTCACTTAGTCTTGGCAGTCTTGGTCGTCGTACTAGGGGATCCAGTTTCGTTGTGATCTGCTGTCGCAGGTCAGCTGCCCTTACGTTTAGTGGGCTTGTTGTTGTTGGGGCTGGGGACCCGATCTCTGTGTGTTGGGATGATGATATTTCCCTACTGACCTATTGTCCTGACTCCCCCTTGCCGCAGCATGTCAGTTGTACCTCATCAATTTCTAGCTGTGATAGGAGCTGCCGTTTGTGGATGTTAGAACACTGAGTTAGTAGTTGTTTCTTTGTCAATGATGACAATGGTTGTTGGAGCTGCCATAATTCCCATAGTCTCTGCATGTAACCTCTCTCACTGGGGACGCTTGTATAGTAGCATTTCATTAGTACCAAGTTTTCTGCTCTAGTCCATCTATGTCTTGTTCCAGTAGCCAATTTGTCATCAAGTTGCCCTGGTTCCCTAGCAACTGACGCGGACCTTGTTAACCCGGGCGACGTCTGAGCCGGTATGGCTCTTGTATTTGCGGTTTCACTCATGCCTGAGGTAGGCCACTAAGCACAAAGGACCTTGCCTAAGGGTCCACCTGGATGTATATATACAGTATATATATATATATATATATATATATATATATATATATATATATATATAACAGGAAATTTACAGTAATATGTTTATATATATATATATATATATATATATATATAAACATATTACTGTAAATTTCCTGTTCTAACATTTCAGTTGTTGTTTTTTTTGTTGCCTTGGTAGTTTAACTTGAGTGATAATAGATATTTACATAATTTGTTGATTAAAATATTGCAAACTGAATTTGCCTTGTAAATTTGCCAGTAATGTCTTGAATTTTAGATAGAAATTTTGTGTTTATACTATGTAACTGTGCAGGGCAGCCCTTGTTCTCCATCGTCAAACATTATGCAATGCACATAGGGCACCATGTCCCAGGGGCAGGGCACCATAAGCCTGGGGCAGGGCACCAAGTTCCTGGGGTGGGACGCCATGTTCCTTAGACAGGGCACCACGAGCCTAGGAAGGAGCACCATGAGCCTGGGGCAGGACACCATGAGTCAGGGACAGGACACAGTGTTCCTGGGAAGGGACACTATAAGCCTGGGGTGGGACACCATGAGCCTGAGGCAGGGCGCTATGTTCCTGTGATGGGGCACCGTAAGCCTGGGATGAGACACCAAGAGCCTGGGATTGGACACCATGAGCCTGGGATAGGACGCCATAAGCCTGGGGCGGGACACCATGAGCCTGAGGCAAGGCACCATGTTCCCGGGATGGGACACCATGTACCTTGGATGGGACACCATGTTCCTGGGATTGGACACTATGAGACTGGGGCGGGACACCATGAGCCTGAGGCAGGGCACCATGTTCCCGGGATTGGACACCATGTTCCAGGGATTGGACACCATGTTCCTCGGATTGGACACTATGAGCCTGGGGCGGGACACCATGAGCCTGAGGCAGGGCACCATGTTCTTGGGATTGGACACCATGTTCCCGGGATGGGACACCATGAGCCTGAGGCAGGACACCATGTTCCCGGGATGGGACACCATGTTCCCGGGATGGGACACCATGTTCCTGGGATTGGACCCTATGAGCCTGGGGCGGGACACCATGAGCCTGAAGCAGGGCACCATGTTCTTGGGATTGGACACCATGTTACCGGGATGGGACACCATGAGTCCGGGGCGGGGCACGACTAATCAAGTATAAGGAATACACAGCCAAACAACGTTTTTGGATACAAGATTGACCTCTCTCCAGGAGGGTGCACCTGCCAGCGGTCTGTTTGATTATGCCTTCTGTGTGTGTTTGCAAAAATCGATCAGGAGTCATGTGATGGAAACATAAGAAATCTCTGAGCCTCTTCAGAAAGAAGGAGCTCCTCAACCTCTCTCTAAGGGAGAGCACAGCCACCCCGAAGAAGCTTATTTTAGTTTCTGTTATCCACACTGAAGAAAATAATGCAACTATTTTTGTCATTCAATTAATCATATTTAGTTACTTTAACACAACTGTTTCATGTTATCACATTTGTTCTAATAGCAAAATGGTTCAACTGATGGTTCTTAAACTTTCATTTTCAGACTGCTCAGAAACAACATCTTATCCTCTGATTAGATATACGTTTTAATAAATACATTCATAGGACACTTCTATATGAAGAACCATGTACATGTGGGTGGTGGTGACCCCAACCATTATACATCCTTTTGGAGGCCACTGCAGGTTTCCCTCCAAAAGGTTTAAAGGCTTCATCCAATCAACAAACCTTCAGTCTGTTTCTGGGATTGGATCAGAGACACAACATAAAACTGACTTTGTAAATTCAGCCAGACATTTCAAGGCCAGCCTTAGATGGGTGGAGAATGCCTGTCATCAGGTCCATGGAGCCTCTGCTGCTCTGAAGTCTATAGGGCTGGTTCCAGCAGCCGATCATGACAGCTTCTATTTCAAGGGTCTCTGAGCTGGTCCCACTGGGAGAAGAACCATCCAGTAGAAGCAGAACTCACAGATCATGGAACCAGTCAGCTTCAAGCTGGGTCAGACTGTATGGATCAATGTGACGTTAATGTGGACGTCTTCAGTAGAGAGTAGACAACTTGTGGCTCTGGTTTTGCTTGTCGTTCTGCAAAGAAATGGTTTATAACTGTTTAGATCATTATTTAACTGATCATATTGTGTTAGCCAAGTAGAAGAAAGTCTGAATGAGCGAGGGAGGGTCTAACCAGAACATTAGCCTTAGCAGGCAGTAGCAGATGGGTACTGATCCGCATGACAACTTCTGAGGTGGAAACACCTCGGATTTGTAATTTAAGGTGGAAATGTTCATATGAAGGAAAACAGGTGGTTGGATGACCTGTAAACCTCCTCTGTCTGTGCTCTGACTGGACTTTCATAGAATATGTTCTGGATCTGGTTCAATGAATAGCCTATGTATTTACATACACCCTCTCTAATATCAGGTATATGTCTAAAAGCAGGTGGCAGAGATGTCTGGCGTCAGCCGTCCCCAACCAGTATAGGTAGATATCCCTAAGAGTTCTCAGACATTGGACCTTTGTAGACCTCTGTCTAACATTAAACCAGTTTGGATGTGTGTCATGTGGGAACAATATCCATCTGATCCAGATGTTTAATATCAACACTGGCACCGTTCCAAACAACAGCCTAGAAGTTACTGTCAGATTTATTCTGTTTGAGAATCTTATGGTCAGATGACAAAGACTGAGCAGTTTGGTCACAATGTGAAGAAGTATGTATGGATCATTCAAAGTGAGGCTTTCAAAACCAGAAAACTCTGAGCCTACTATGAGGCAGGGTGATGGTAGCATCACTTTCTTCAAATTTTTCAACCATTCCACTAATCGGTTGAAACCAGGAATCAACCAGATGCTCGAACAGATCAGTGATTTCTAATATTGAACTTGGTGTTAATAGTGGATGATATCAGGGACCTGAGGTCAGTTAGAACAACACTGGGGCTTTACCTGTCCTGTTTATCCTGATGGCAACGGTTCCATATATGACATCATCTTGTTTCCTCACTGATGAATAAACGGGACCTGGAGATGTTCCTGCAACAGAAAGACAATCAGTTTGCTAGTTAACCTGAGCTGTTTTTGGTTGCCAAAGGACCGTGGTGGTGTAAAGGCTGGTTTATGCTCAGAAACCAGGTGGTCTGCGTGTCTGTCTCAGTGATGCCAAATATGCCCCCGCCCCTTCCACAGACACTCTGCTGCACCTCTCAGTACCGCAGGCAGGAGGCCTCTGATTGGTCAGATCTACATCCGCTCTCCTCTGTGCGTATTTGGAACCTAAATTGTTTAGTTTTGTATGACCGCCATCGTGGAAAACCACTCGTGAAGAGAAGTTGGACCAGCTAGAAGAGCGAGGTGCGCGAGAACGCTGGGACCCTTTTTCCAACTGGATCCCCGCTCTTTTTTGGCCCTCATGTCCCTCCGTTGTCGCACAAACTTGCCCCCACTTCCTCACCGCCTCGGCCGTATCTAGTCCCACAGATAGTTCGTGATTGTCCCTCTTGTGTTGTGGTGTGGAATAACATAGCGCAGACCACGCTTCAAAATTGGGCATAAATCAAAAATACCTGTGACAAGCTCACTGCGACACACTTCTGCTGGGGGATAACCAGCCATTAACCCCCCTACCTGCCCCCATTGTACAAATAAATTGACTTCAAAAGTTCCCAGCTTGCGATGTACGTCCGGCAACTTTATACGAATCAACACTCGGATCCGATCTGACTACTCTGACTGTATGTCCTCAAAGACAAGTTGGGTCCTGACATACAATGCAATACATTCAGTTATCTAGTAATAGAAGAAGAAGAGAAAGAAGTTTTGCACAGGTTCAATGTGAAAACCTCAGAGGAAGGAGTTCTCAGTCTGGTCGTGTCACGGCTTCAACATGCAATTCACTGACAAGCCATGAACAAAATATCAAACAGGTTGGATTTTCTCCAACCTACAATTTCTGATCAGGAAGTCGTTGTAAGGTGCCAATCACCTCTCTCAACCCCCTTGTTTAAATGTATAACGCCTGATACAGGATTTAGCCAAGAGTCTGCCTAACCCCAAATCTTGTTCCATGACTGGAAAATCAACTTAAAAACGACCAAAAGACGCTAAGCATATACTAGGCTTCAAGCTGCTGGTAGAGCAACCAAAGCCGAGGTTTCTACACATGAGCCAACACAACTTAACTTGTCTCATTATCCATTGACTTCCATCAATTTCTAAAGCCTTAGCCTAACCCTAAACATTACGGGTTCATACCTAACCCCAACCCCCACCTAAACTAAATTCACATCTTTGTCCTTTATGAGAACCCCTAACCCAAAAACAAGAATTACCCACATGGGGTCCAGGCATTGGGCCCCACAACATGCCCTTTTTCCTGAAAATGGGCCCCACTATGTACACATGTGTTTTCCAACTGTCAGTGAATGCATCCCCTGTCCACGGTTAGAGTTTGCTCTACTTATACTCTGTGTAATTGTTTAATTTGCTAGTTTATTCTTGGAGTGAAATGAAGAAGGTCTCTGTCTTTATTGCCTGGCTTTATTCTTGAGTGACTGACTCATCAGAGGCTTTAATGGGTAGAGAAGGATAGAGTACTTCAAAAGTTTACCCAAGCAAGACTAGCACTACATCAAGATATTTTACTCAAGTAAAAGTAGAAAGTAGCCATCCATTGTGGTTCATAATGGATTTAATGTTTAAAATGCTGACAGTAATATGCATATTCTGGTATTTTAAAATACAAAGTGAAATTTTAAAAAAAAGAAATAAACTTGCAGCATAAACTTATAAAAACAATCTTTACATTCATCAATGGATGAATGAAAGGACAGAGAACCTGCAGCTGCAATATTTTCCCCTGATCCTAGAAAAACTCAAATTACTAGCGGTGGGCAAAGTAACCGGATATTTCACTCCTCTAAGAAAAATTATATTCTCACAAGAAAATTGAAAATATGATAGATTACAATAGTTCTAAAAAGTACCTATTTTTTTCTTGAAGTTAAATAGATAAGTTTAAATCACAAAATGTAGTTAGAAACTATCCACCTCTAGTTCAAAGTGACATAGTCGCAGATACAAATACTTTGTTACCCTAATGAAGTAGAAATTCTGGCTATCTATACTTTACTGGAGTAATTATTTTTAGACAATTTTTTTACTTCTTGTCCTCATAATTATCTTTACTTTCTACTAAAATTATACATCTGTTACTATTGTTTCATTTAAGCTAATTTTCTTATTGCCTGTTGGTATAAAAAAAAAAAAAAATAGTTTCATCCAGACTATTAACTCATTTGTGGTTGGCTGCCCCAACTTGATGTTCACCACATACCAAAATAAATTGTTTTCCAAAATTATTAAATGTGATTCTGTTACCATTAGTTGTAAACATAAGAAATGAAGTCTAAGGAAGTTATCGTCCAGAAATGTAGAAAATGTTCCTTTAATAGGGTAGAGCAGTAAAGCTTCTGGCCTTAACAGTTTATCCTGCATTACTTTTACTTTTATACTTTAAATAGTTTTAAAAATGGTACTTTCACACTTTTACTGAAGTAAAAAGATATACACACACACACACACACACATATATATATATATATATATATATATATATATATATTTTTTTTTTTTTTTTTTTTTTTTTTTTTTTTTTGAGCCTCTTCAGAAAGAATATATTTTTTTACTATTTTTCAAGGCTGCACTTTCAAAAACAAACCAAATTTCTTTTCTTTGTTTTACACTGGTGTAAACAAAATGACAAATAAAATCTGTCTAAGTCTAAGCTGATCCTCTAACTTCTACAAACGTGTTTTTAGACAGTTAGATTTATACTTCTACTGGAGTAATAAACTTGAATACCTTTCAGACCTCTGCTTAGTCGCATAACTCCCTGTTATAAAAAACATTAAAAACCTTCTCCTTTTATTCTCAACAGAAATTGATTTCATCCCCTAACACATAGCAGTGGCACATCAGTCCCATCATTCTAATATATAAATACCCTTTGAAGCAAAAAGGAGAAAGATCTTGTTGTAACATTAAATCATATCAGCATGTTTTGTAGTCAGCCATTGCTTTTCATCTCAGTTTGCCACCTACAGATTGAATGGCCCCATGAAAGGTTTGTGGAGGTGTCGCTTCAGCTGTTGCTGATCACACAAATCAACGTTTTTAGAAACGAGGTGTGGATAAGCGACAACAGAGGTGCTAGTTGCTGTTAAACCTCAGAGGGATCTTAGAGGTTGCATACAAACACCTCAGACAGCCCTTCCTCTGAAGGCGGACTCCATCCTAACAGCCCTCCGCTCTATGTGTCACATAGACCACAGACTGCAACCTGTAGGCCTGTTTGGTTCATTTTAGGACTCCATGTGCTTTGTCTCCTTATAGGGCAAGAACTGCTGTGAATCTCTGCTGAACAGGTTATTTATAACCATAATACAGTGGCCTATAAAAGTAGCTCATCTCAGCAAACCCAGCGTAATCAGTACATCCTGGCTTCTTCCAGGCCAGGCTTAACCCAGCGTGATCAGTACATCCTGGCTTCTTCCAGGCCAGGCTTAACCCAGCGTGATCAGTACATCCTGGCTTCTTCCAGGCCAGGCTTAACCCAGCGTGATCAGTACATCCTGGCTTCTTCCAGGCCAGGCTTAACCCAGCGTGATCAGTACATCCTGGCTTCTTCCAGGCCAGGCTTAACCCAGCGTAATCAGTATACCCTGTTTTCTTCCAGCTCTTTCTTGTTATTACACTGTCACAAGTACAGAGCAAAGAAATGAATTCTCTGCATTTGAGCCATCCCCTTGGGGAGTGGTGGGCTGCCATTATGATGCGCTCGGGGAGCAGTGTGTCGCATTTTTTTCATGTTCATTTTTTGTAATGTTTTAACTTATAATTAAATTTTTATATGCTTTGCATATGTCTTAATCAAGGTCATTGGGTGAGCGGGGCGGTGCCCTCATACTTTCTATTGGCCAGCCGCCACTTTTTCGAATGACTGAAAATATGCAGCTTATCGTTGCTAATAGCTGCTTTGGCCACATCCTAAACCTTACCTACTTTATACTTTTCACAGACTGATCTACTCTCATTCTTTTTATCTGCTTTAATTCCAGTGAATTCCACAGGTTTCCGTCAGACAGATATAATGTAGCCTTTAAAAACAACAGAATATGAGATTTTTTAGGAGGGGTTCTTCAATATGAGCAAAATACCAACTAACTTACAATAGACAAAGAACTACTGAAATTCTGTTCAGATTACACTTAGATAGATTAATTAATTCTGCAGATAGAAAAGGAATGACCTTTAGGTCAGGATTAGGATTCACTCGGTGATAACCTACTGAACAATCTGAAGCAATTCTTCGGGACTGATAAGCATTTATTGGGATGAAAACATCAGAAGGAGCTGGTTTTCAGGGATCTAGGGAGGAAAAGGTTTGGAAGTGGTAACCTAGTTCTCATAGTACATGTATTTATCTAACAAGCCTAACCAGAACTCACCAAGAAAATCGTTTCTGTTTATAATCAAATACACACCTCTGATGAAATAGTGTTTTTGGCAAAACAGGAACAAAACATTAGAAGAAGCCAAAAACAGATCAAAAGATAAAATCCTGACTTAATCCCTTATCTGGGTGTAGTAAAATAGCCCACCCCTAACCTAAAACACAGACAAGGGTCTCTCAGCCAATGAGGTTAGAGGTGAAGCTGTAACGGTTTCGTTCTTTCTACCAGTAAACAGGAAACCATCGAGCAGCAGAGACACAGTTCGCACATTGACCACAGGCCGAGTGCATGAGGACAAACTTCTGGTGATGGGTTCAAACTACATAGAGACCACCAGTCTGAAGCTTAAGAACAAAACCGTTCAGAGCTCCTGACGTCGCCTAAAACCTCCTGTCAGGTGTAGCTGCACAGTAATTCAGCTGCTGAGAGGACGAGGACGGTTGCTAGGGGTAATGCTGTCTTCTAAGAGCTATGATTGTGAAGTAAAAGCAAATGTTCCCATATCAATGGAGAAAAATAAACCCATCGGACTTTATCTCAGAGCCAACAGATATGATTATATTTTCCCCAAAGCTTTTATATTTTTATCAGAGAGAGCATTTTAATGCCTGCCAATATAACTTCCATTATTTTTTTTAAGTTTGTTAGATTTTCTGCCTTTTATTAAAGTTTTTTTTTAAATATTTCTCTTACTATTTATTTGTATTTGAAAAATCTGTCACCAGAGGTGAACCTTCAACCTGTTCGTCCGCTGAACTCGATTATCACTCTATGCAGATGATAGTTGATCTTATCTTTAGGGCTGCAACTAACGAATATTTTGCAAATCAATTAATCTTTCGATTATTTTTTCGATTTATAATCAGATAGCCAAAGGTTCCTTAAAGAATATTTCTTACGAAATGAAACTAAACTTTTTTACTTGAGGAGGTCTAGACCATATTGACAGACTTGATATAATTAATGCTTTAAGTGTGCACCACTATGTCAATTAAAGCCATGTTTTAGAGTCTCTATACTCCAGTTAACAATTAATGGATTACTAATTAGTTGATGATTAATCACAATTAATCCAGTTAACTGTTTCAGCCCTTCTTATCTCCATATTTATAGTTGTATGATTGCCAATGAAGTTTAGGAGCTCTTTCAGGGTGGATCAGCCAGTCATCTCTCCATCTTTTTTTCTTCAGACCCACTAAGGCTCATCTAAAGTCCTCCTCGCTACTCTTGACATTTGCACTTTACTTGTTTCCTAAAAATGTGTGTAAAATCTGAGGATCTAAAGATGCTTTCTGTTGTTACCTTCAGGTGTCCTGCAGAGGTGCCATCCCACCAGAAGGACGAGTGGGAGCAGAAAAACTAAAACACCAACACATGCAAGAGGAAGGATGGTGTGGAGAGGAGATGTGGGGTCAGGAGGAGGTGGAGGAGTTGTGGAGGGTTTCTCTGACATAAACAAAACAGACATATTCAGTTTTTGCCTCATAATAAAGGTTGAAGCAGAGAGAGAAGCTGCTGACCTTCAACAGAGATCCAGCTGTGTGGAGACTCTCCATGACCACTGATGTTACACCTGTAGCGGCCTTCATCAGAGCTGGTCACATGGTGGAGGGTCATGTGACCTTTGGGCTCAGTCCTGATGAGGGAGCCATCTTTATAGAAAGCAGCTGGGAGGTTGGAGGGAGTGGTCTTTGTTAGACAGCTCAGAGTGACGTCATCTCCCTCCATCACAGGGAGGACAGGACTCTGCAGGATCACTGATCCACCTCAACACAGAGACAAACTACAGCATTTCATCCATTTCCACACAGCTTCATCAACACTAACTCCACAGTCTGATCTTACCAGTGACAGTGAGCTGGATGATGATGCTGGCTGCTCCCTCTCTGGACGACCAACACCAGTAAACTCCACTGTCGGATGGGACGATGTAGCTGAGGGTGCAGGTAGATCCAGCTGGTTCCCCCCATTCGTCACATCCAGCCCTGACTCCTCTGGTTGTGTTCCTCCATACAGTCCATCCAGCAGAGCTGCTGTCCTCCTCACAGCTCAGAGACACAGAGTCTCCTTCAAAGAACTGAGATCTGCTGGGACTCACAGTCAGAGCACCTGAGCACAAATGAACTTTTACAGACAATATGGAAAGCTCTGTGTTTCCACCTTGAAGCTTTCAGTCTGGTTTATTTTCCTGAAAAGAGGTGAACTCAGACAAACTCTTTAAATAACACTTCTTAAGGCATTAAATATTAAGTATTAAATAAGCATGAGACATAAAAACAGATTCAGATAGAAATCTTACTCAGATCAGAGAAGTTGCTTAGAGTTACTGAAGGCAGCTGCTTACCAATCAGGCTCACATCTCGTTGAAGTGGCCCACGATTCACAGTTAAAGACGCATCATAGGCTACGTTCACACTGCACGCCTTGATGCTCAATTCTGATTTTTTTTTTTGTGAAATCAGATTTTTTTGCATTTCCAAATATATGTGACTTGTATGTGATCTCCTGTGGGAACTGCATTCATACAGCTTAAGTGTCCTACATGCACAGTAGAGGACGCCATGACATCACAAGGGACCGTGCTCTGTGTTTACGGAAGTAAACATGGATGGTAGCGCTGGACCTTATCTAATGACCTCTCTCAACATTAAAAACTCAATCATGGTTGTTGTTTTTTCTTTTTGGTTCTGCGTAGCAAGACCCAGAATGGCGCCTTTTGTCGGCTACTAATGGTGTTGAGGTCGGATGAATGCGATCTGGCTCTTCAGACACAGGTCGCATTTGAAAAGATCAGATATGCATCGGATTCAGGACCACAGAGCCAAGTGTCATGATCTTGGCACCATAGGGTGGGTTTGACTCCTCCTCCTCTCATCTGGTTGGCTCCACCCCAGCCTAATTATCTCTTATATGATCCACCTGTTTCTTCTGCTATTTATTCCACCGGTTCCAGCCCATTGTGCCAGACTAATCAAGCTTTCATCGAGTTTAATTCTAGCGTTTAGTTCTGCCTGATCCTGACCTGTTTCTGCCCCCGAGGTTTTGCCCGCCCCTGTTCTGCTCTGTTTTGTCTGTCCTGTGTTTCCGGGCTGTTACCTGGATTTCATCTGTTGCTGACCTCAGACCCATCTTGTGACAACGGCTTTGATAATCCCTTCTGGATCCCTTGTTGCTTCTGCATGCTCTAGCTGTTGCTGATTGCTGCTCTTTTTCTCTCCTGAATCACTGGGACCGTCTCAGTTTCAAGCTTTTCCAGGTTGGTGCATCCCAGCAGATGAGCAGCTGCATGCAGCCTTTTCAATAAACATTGTCTCGTCTGAATTCTGGGTCCTACGTTCTGAGTTTCTGACACCAAGTGTCCTGGGTTGCATTGGAAAAAAAATCAGATCCGTGTTGTTCAGCATGTCATGAAAAGATCCAGGTCGCATGTGGGCAAAAAAACTCTGATTTGGGTCACTTCAGGCTGCTGTGTGAGCGTAGCCTATACAGCTCCATAATGCCATGACATCCATGGCTCCAAGCTTATCAAAATATGACACTGTTTTTAGATCAAGCACACAGCTCTCATTCTATTCCCAAATCTTTGCCACGTGCAGAAGATGAATTTTATCCTAATTAGATAAACCATTTGGGAAAACATTAGTTCTGACTCGCAGCAGGCAGGTATTATGAGGGATTAACAGACAGCATCAATAAGAATAAGTCTAACAATTATTAATTGTTTTATTTCCTGCATCTGCAGGTTTCTCAGGGTGTTTTTCTCTCTAGCTGTGGCTTAGGTCAGGAAGTCTAATACTCAAATAGTACATCCTGTCTTTCTAAAGTACGTTTCAATTTTTGCATTCAAACATACTGACCTTGTTCAGTTGTGACCCGTAGTAGTGAGGTCCAAACTGTAAGAATATTAGAAGTGGAGTCATTAGTTATGCTAGATTAGCTGCATTTCTGCACAACTTTTAACACATGTTTCAGGTGGTTTTATTGACCTAATTAAATGGAGAAACATATTTGCTTTAAATAAAAAAAACAAGCTGATTGCTTAAATTATAGTCAGCATTGATCAGAAAACAAAAGGTATGTTTTATGCTTATTAGTATGCAGTTATTGCAGTCTCTGCAACATTATCCATCACCCTTCTCATCCATCTGCAGTTTAACAGATGTTTCCTTAAAAATAACTGGAAAAAAGCATTTATTTTTTGCCAAATATTTTCAATTAACTGTTACAAAAAGTTTGTTTCATGAAAAGCTGTCAAAACTCTGCAAAAAAAAAAAAAAAAACCTGATCTAAAAGTCGGTAAGAAATTCTTAAAATGCATGTATTTGTGGTTAATCTGAGCAGCTAAACAAGTTGCTGAGTATTTTTGCCCTTAAGATTAGATAGCTGGATGTTATTCACTTGAAAAAGTAGTTGTTTTCTTTTTTTTTATGCACATCATTTTACATTTTGCCAAAATCAAGGTAAATACGCTATATTTGCATTGAAAATAATAGAAGTCTTGTTTCTATTTTGTCGGTCTGATTTTAATCAAATAAATGGATATTAAAGGTGGTACTCACAGAGCAGCCACAGAGACCATGTAGGTCTCATCGTTCCACAAAGTCCTCTGAGGTGGAAATGTTTAGTTCTGTTGCCTCGCAGCAGATAAAACCTCTTCCTTCCTGCCGTGAGACTATATTGACTCTCAGGTCGAAGGGGTTCTGGCTGAATTATGTCATGTTTGGGATTTATCTTCAGGGTTACTATGGCGACTGGTAGCAGATTGGGTCTGTCAAACAGGTCACATTAATCCATCTTTCCTTTCATCTGAACCAGAACAATTCTGTTCCACCATAGACCAATGCCAGGGTTCCCACATGAGGTCCAGACCCCCCTGGGTGCACCGAAGTGATACTTATAGGTTTAACATAGACTTTTAAAAAAAGTATCAGTGAGCTTTTCAATCAAAAATTCACCCACTCACTGGTTTAGAGGTGTTGTTCCTATGTAGGAGTTCAGCGCTCTGTTTTCCACAGACTCCATGTAGTGATTGGCAGCAATGACTGACACTGGGGATCCCCATTATTCACAGCAATGCACTTTTTTCACACTTGACTTTCACTATAGCTGTACCTCAAACGGCACTAAATGAATCCCTTTCTGCACACAAAACCCCATGATGACAATATGAAAAGTATATAAGTATTAGAAGCCTTTGCTTAATTCAATGTTAATCCTCAAGTCTTTTAAAATCAGACAACGCCAACACACTGTATCGATTTTTATAGCACTTTGAAAAAAATGGTTAATCAAAGTGCTGCACTACCATCAAGGCAAGGCAAGGCAAATTTATTTGTATAGCACAATTCAGTACAAAGACAATGCAAAGTGCTTTACATGATTAAAATACAGGAAGATAAAACAGAATCAAAGTAAGTAGGAAAAAAAAAAAAACATGAGTTACACATCCTACAGTACTACGGTATGTTCGCACATTATAAATGTGAGGTACACTGGAAATTTCCTACACATGTCTAAACAGAACATTAACTGACCTTAAATCAACCATAATTAACGTCAATTGGACCCTGCTACTCTGACCTGGTTCTCCTCTCTTCTGAACCGCACCATCGTCTCTGCTTATACCTTCATGTCTGAAAGACAAGATGGCCTCCAATGGACTCTCCCATAAACAGATTTGAGTAATCAGTTTACTCTTTAACTTGCTTATGTTACATTCAATAACCTTAGGCAACATCTTCAAAACCATCACCATGACCAAACCGCATCCCTGTGACCTTAGCTCTACACAGGAGGTCATAATGGCAGGAAACACAGGTAAGGTAAGTTCAACAAAATAAAATAGGTAAAAAGTTAGATAATCAAATAAAAACCAAGAAAAATAATCTGCAGAAATGCAAAACCTAAACAAACCCAGGACAGTATATGCAAAGTACAGAAGTGATGGTTAAATCAAGCAAACAAGAAAAATAACAGAAATGTATTAACTGAGACAAGTGTTGTTCTCACCCAATTTTTTAGAGAAAGACATAGTGTGTTATAAGATAAAGAGTAAATATGCTTTAAAACGATATTTAAAGACATAAAATGAAAGAGTTTGGCTTATAGGCAGAAGCAAATTGGTCCAGAGGTTCTAGGAACCACTGGCAGCATCTGGTCTGTGGACCTATAGGATGAGAACATTGGCTCTATGCATGACTCCACTACTTCCTGAACTTAAGGCCGCTCTTTTGTTTCCTGTCATTTTCTATTGGATTATCTGATTAATCCAGGTGTGCTTGACCTCAATACCCATTGGCCATACACACCTGGATTAATCAGTTAATCAATTAATCAATCAGTTAAACAATCGTCAACCATTGCAAGTAGGCCAATACCAGAGTGATGTGTTTTTGTAGCTGTTGGAAATCACGCTCCTGCAATGTTATACAGGCTGAACCTGTGACAAAGTGCTCCGGCAAATTCCTGTTAAAAGACTTAGAATAGGCGGGCAGGGAGTTTATAAACCCATTGGATTTCTTATGCCACATCATTCTAGAGCAGAGGGGACCTAATCTCTAAGATAAGTCTAAAGAATCATGATTTTATCACATATTTAAGGTATTTAACTTTAGGGCACGGTGCATTTTAATCTTTGAAATGGTGAAAAAGGCTTCAAATGCAGAATCATGGTCAGCAATATGTTTATTACAATTCAAGAAATACAATTCAATGGAAAAATAGTTCCAAACGGTAGAGAGAGCAGGAGAAAAGAAGGAGCCCGAGAATAAAGCCTTGTGGTACACCCACAATAGGCGGTAAAAAATGAGATAGAGGGACTACTCCAAACACAAAATTTATTTTAGAGAGATATGACATGGTTGTATAATAGCGCAATCTACCACGAGTAGTAGGACTTGGTGTAAAGACAGTTCTCGTACCTGTACTAGTCGCCTTCCTCCTTATCCAGGACCGAGTTGCGGGGCAGCCGTCTCAGCAGAGACTCCCAGACTTCCCTCTCTGAAAACTCCACCTCCAACTGTGCTTGGGGAAGCCTGGTGCTCCCAGGCCACCATAGAGATGTAGTCCTTCCAGAGTCCTGGGTCTTGCCCCAGGCCTCCCACTGGCGGGATCTGCCTGGAACACCTGATAGGGAGGGCATCAGAAAAAGAAGTCTGAGCCAAATCAGACTCCTCTCGATGTGGAGGAGAAGCCTCTCCTGAATGACCAAGCTCCTCTCCCTTTCTCTAAGGGAGAACCCAGCCACCCTCCAGAGAAAGCCAATTTAAGCTGCTTGTATGTGGGAGCATGTTCAATTTAGCTTCTACCTCAGAGGCGTGGAGTTTATTCAGAGCTAAAGTAGAGAATTTCTCCTCTGCTTCTATGGTAACTTATTGATAATCCCCTAAAAGTATCGGTTAACTACCCATCAGTTCCTTATAAGGTTATCTTTGTTTTCCATGATAACTACTCATTGGTTCCTGATAAGTTATTCTGTATTTTCCAGATAACTAAACAGTAATCCCCAAACCAGGCTGGGCTGAGTAATTCCCAGTTAGTGCTGGATAACTAACCTTTAGTTCATGCCTTGTTCCTTGTGTGTTCTTTATTCACATTCTTTATACCTTAATGTAAAGTGTCACAAAGATAATGTGTCAAAACATCAGAAAATATTAAGAAACTGCAGTCATGGTTATGGAAACTCAGATGTTTGGAATTTCTTCATTGCTCCTTTCTGCCGGGGTTATATTTGTTATGAACCTCATTGTCCAAAAAGTCTGAACCAAGACAACGAGTTTAAGATAATGTAATTAAACACCTGCTCTTTCCCTGCTCTCACCAAATGAACACATGTTGTCCATAGCATTCCTTTACCTAGCATCTTTCAGTATCTGTAGTCATATTCTGGAGGAGTCAAACTAAGCTTAACCAGAAACAATCCACCATATTCTGTGTCTGAAGAAACAAGGTTAGGTTTGACGTTTTCATAGCCTAGTTAATTTTTAGGACATGACTAGCTTTAGCTAAGTTTGTGGCTATAGCGCTGTTTCGTTTGGGTTATAGTTTCTATGTTTTTGTGGTTCACCGTTATAACTCATTTTTATATTTAATAGCCGGATTTTTTTATATAGGTGATATTTAGAAAAGGTAGATGAGCACCAGTAACTCTTGTCTTCTTTTTTTCTATGCACTTGTTAATTATTTAATAAATAAACAAACAAGGGGGTCACAAGGGGTGACCCCAGCTAGAATAAGCGTGATGGAAAATGGATGGATCTATCCATCTTCTCCCACGTATGCGTCATACCCATAGTCAATACGCATGCGCAAGACATCAGATTTGCATTTCCCTTTAGTTTTGTACAAAAAAAAATTGACTAAACTATCTCGAGGGGCGTGTATCCACTTAGTGATGTACAAAAAAAAAAAAATTAAGTTCAGATCACCATACGCTTCAAAAAACACCAAAGCGTAAGTGATTAAATAGTTTTTTTGTACATGACTAAAGGGATACAATTGTGTTGATGTAGTTTAAGGTCTATTTTTCATACAAAACTAAAGGGATAAACAGTTATTGACTACATGTTTGATGGTCTGACAGGGTATGCTCATCTGACACAACACTGGAGCACCCAGAGAGAACCCACGCCTGCACAGGGAGAACATGCAAACTCCATGCAAGACCCCAAGCCAGGAATCGAACCCAGAACCTTATTGCTGCATGGCAACAGTGCTACCCGCTGCTATATGTCATGCAACACTTGATAAATGCAATGAAACAAAAACATGTTTTGTTTCTACACTGCAGGTTAAAAGTCACCAGAATCTGGTCACATTATGATTCTTGTCACGTCTTTCTACATAACTGAACCATTTGCTTCATGCCTACCTTTGTTGCAGCTGGTGATGTTTTTCTAGCCACCAGTCAGCTGATTTTTATGGTATTACACCAATTGCTCCATCTTAACCAAAACATACCACCACTGTATGTACCTGCCTCAAAGTTAGAACCATTAAAGGTGAGGTCTGGTTCAGTTACATGGGCCAGTTTAATAGGGGAAGCAGTAAAAATATTGAACTCACCTGCATTAAACCACTAAATGGAAAGTAGCTCTAAATGTACCAGCAGTGGTCTCCACAGTCATTTGCTTAAAAAGCAACCAAAAGAGCAGCTTCTGTGCTTAGGGGTAAATTAACACCAAACTGAGACAATTCCAAGATTTAATGGTATTCTGAGAAGTCTTTTGGTTGGGAAAGAATAACCTTTTCCTGGATGTAGATAAGTTAATAAAATTAAAAGTAAGACATTTGTTCTCATCAGCTAAAGCAACTAGTCAAAAAGGGTCCAACAACTCATTCCACTGGGATGCACACTTGCTGAATGTTTTCAGAAAGATGTTCTACTACAGAGGATGGGGCCAGAAGACTGAAATACCACCATTATTTTAGTGTTTATTAAGGAATCACCAGGTTATATCTTTGGAAAACTGCTGCCTGGGTGCAGGGTATGACCCATCAGAGGCACTAGATGGCGCCATTATACAATTTTGATCAAGACAAAAAAAAAATCTACAACCTAAATGTTAATCAGAGTCAGTTAAACATTGGAGTCTATAGTTCAGGGG